TTTTAGTGCTTGAGAGCGCATGGCGAGTCCCTGAGTGGTCATCAATGAAAGACGCTCTAGCTCAGGTGCACATTTAACAGTTCTTTTGCTTCAAACAAATAGTTTTACTTATTTTACTTTCACGTTATTCACTTTTTGCTGGTTTATGTTACAACTCACATTACAGGTTGAAGTCAACTTCCCAGAATCCATTGCATACAAGTTAAACTTGTATCGAGGCTACATTGCCATTTGTCACCCAGACGATCAACACCTTAACATGGTATGTAATATTTACTTCCTGTCAAGTTAAGGTCTAGAATACTCGACACGTCACAGATGTCACGCAAGTACTACTTTGCTTACCATGCTAGGCGTCTTGAAACGTCACGTATGTCGCGCAAGCAGCTGCCTTTGTCTGCTATCAGCGTACGCTGTTGATCAGAATACTGTTGTCACTGTCACGTTTTTGTGTTACAGGTGGACAAACTTGTGGAGCATTCCACTACTCAAGCAATCCGTCAGTGGAGACGACTCCCGCCTGTAATCTCACAACAACACATTCCTTTGTTACAGGTGGGCTGAACTGAATGTTTTATTTTTTCCTGCTATATTTACCATTGTTTTTCCAATGTTGTTGCTTATTGTTATTGCTGTTATTTTCAGGCAGCACAACAAATCATGGAACTCCAGGAAGCCGCTCAGATTCATACGGGACTTCAGCCTCCGAATGTTGGACGATCAACCAGTCTGCATGACATGAAAGCTATTGTGAAAACATGGCGGTGAGAGCCTACTTCCACTTAGCTTCTTAGAAATATAATTTTTGAATTATCCACCACAACTTTTTTAAATTGGTGTTTGATTTTCACATTTAGTAATCGCCTTCCCATGCCATCTGATAATTTATCACACTGGAGTGACGTGTTTATGTGGAGACATCATCATTATCAGGCGATTGTGGCAGCATATGAGAGTCAAGCCCAACATGAACCGGTCAGTCAACACTTGCTTATCGTCCTGTTAATGCATGGTTATTTTCCTTGTTTCTGATTAGTAAATAGACACTTATCTTTCTTTCTGGTCTGTAAATATATCCTTATCTTCCTTTCTGAATGCATCATCCTTTCATCATCCTATCATCCTTTCTGATCATTGAATTTACACTTATCTTCCTTTGCAGTCCGTTGCAAATAAAGGCTTCATTCTATTGAAAAAA